AACATTGTGAACTTAATTTGTGAAGTAATTTCAGGATTGCAGAGCGTCTGTTTGGGATGTAAGAAGAAGAAAATAAGAAGCCACTGTAAAAGAAGGTATTCGAATGATGAGAGAGAAAAGGCCTCGCGGATATTAGATGGTAAGGAATTCCAAAAGACAACGGAACGGATATGAAAGGAATGTTCGAAGGTTTTAGTTCTGTGAGAGAAGGAACGTAGATCAATAAAGCAAAGGATTAAAAAACATTAATTTTTGAAACTATGGCTGAAACAAATTATAATTATATAATAAAATTATGAAAAATTATGAAAATACTGTGGCTAAAGTGCATCTGACTTCTTCGTTTTACCAAATATTCGCATATATCGAAAGGGACTGCTATGTCTTCTTATTGTGTTCACAGAAATGTTACAAACTTAGTGTAGTACCTGAAAGTATTCTTTTCTCGAACCACACCCTGAAGTTGACCCACATGTTTGAGTTGAAACGTTGGCAAAAATAAAAAATATATATATATTTTTTAAAAGACTGTCCTTAATATTTATCACCCATGATATGTAGAACAGTCAACTAGCTTCCTTCAATAGTTACAAACTTAGGTTGGATATATTTCTAGCCTGCAAGTACGTATGCTTCATGGAGGCAGATATATATCTGTAATTAATTCAGTCCTTGGTATGCTTTTAGCTTGCTAGTGGTATAGAGCCCCTGTTGATTAGCCATATCGAAATATTTTTTTTCCCTTTTTCCATTCCGCCCATGTTTGAGTAATGGTCTCTTGGTGGTACTCCATCTTCGTGGAAGACAAATCTAGATTTAGATTTCCCCCTGCGGATCCTTTTATTCGTTATTTAATATATTCATTCAGTGGGAACTTTCAGTTGTTGAGTAATCTCCTCAGGAACCTTCCTACTCTTAATTTTCGATGTTTCTAAATAAAAAAATATAGAAAAATCTCAAACTTTTGTAAAAAAAAAAAAAATAGTTTTTCAGTTTTGAAGGATTTTTTTCATTTGTTTTCCATATCGACATATTTTTCTAGACATAGGTGTATTTCGATAATGGCTCAGAGTTGAGAAAAATGGAGGCTGGTTAGAAAATATTATGTATGTGTCAGAATGATAGAAGTCCGTGACAGGTGTGAATGAAAAAATGAATAGACAGTAAATTAGCTGTTACTGTATTATAAATACTTTACTACACGGTATAAAATATAGTTTATTTTTTCATTTAACAAATGATAGCTGCTGGGTCACTTTGTCATTGTTATTTCCTTAAATCTAGCTCGGACATTTGATATACAGCCAGAGGTAAGGTTATACTGCTTCCTGAACATTTTAAATGTACAGTCACAAAAGGAAAGAGATAAGCTGGGATCAGAACTCGAGATACGCAACTATGTCCTTCTTTGGCGATTCCCTCCCCCCATCGTCTGTGTATGGCGAGAACAGGTACCATAATCCGACTCCCGGCTTAAATCATTCATAAAATATCGTCGAGTAAGTAATCTATGAACTGTTGCTTATGTTGTATGCGAAATGAATGCAAATATTCCCAAGTCGATCGTATATTCTTGAGGTGTAGAATGAGAGAACACGACTAAATGAAATAGCGGGGAATGAGAAAAAGCTTCGGAACAGCCCATTTCTTGGTTTGAATACGATAGCATAATTAACATAAATTTGATTTTGTTTTTTTAATTTTTGATTTATTATTGCGTTTGACGAAGTTAATCTGTTTGGTGTCTCAATGATGAGTTACTTTTAATAGTTTAGTTTTATGTATGTTATTAAATAAATGGCAAAAAATATCGTATTTGCTTACGTGTTACATCAAATATCACGGCTACATCATAAGTTTTAATCACAAGAAGATAGCATTAGTACATTTTAAAAGAAAATAAATGTCAGGAAGGAACAATAGGGAGACTTGAGTGCATATTTACGCAGGCTTATGATTCATATACAAGTTGATGTAAACATAAAACAGAATAGAATAGAAAAATAATTCAATTATGTGACAATGTTAAGAAGTATAAAGTATTATTCTGGCCAAAAGACCAGTTATAGTTGTTTGAAAAAATTTATTAAATCATCAAAAATATTTATAACTAATTAAAAATAGTAAATCCTCATCAAAGTTAAACGAAATTTCCAACTATAAAAGAATAAAATAAAAATTAAATCTCTAAATGGATTAAGCCTTTCTTCCACTCCAATATTCTTTCATCCTCCTGGACTGTTCCTCTCGCTCTTCCTTAGTCCATTTCCTCTTCGCCATTCGCTGCTTCTTCACCAGCTCCTATCATGTTTCATAATTTTATAACAAATTTACTTATGTCATAATATAATTGCTTATATTTATAATTTGAAGGATAGAAGAATTTACACTAATTCAATCAATTTAAAAAAATATAAATTACAGTCATGTCGTTGTTTCACCGGATGAGCGATACATATTGGGTGTCTCAGTTCTTAAACTATTGGGAATGATCCTAGACAAAATTTTCAACTAAAATTTCGCTTGATGCATGGACCTATTCCGAACTTAAAAAGGGTTAAGACCAATTTTATATGGTCACGTTTTTTATTGAATTAGAATTAATTGCTAAAACACTATTCAAGATAATAAAATTCTAAGTACACCATCGTAATGTAGGCAAATCTTTTTTTGTCTACTGTGTTAGTGTACTTAGAATTTAATTATCTTAAACAGTTTTTTTGCAATGTATATTTATGTATAACATATATGTATATATATATTTGTACATTATATGTATGAATTTGAAAAACTTTTTACATTTAATTTATTAAAAATATGAAGTCTGAAATTATTGTTTGGCGATTTATTTTATTTTTTATTTTTGGCGTAATTTAGCCTCCGTTTTACCACTAATACAATGTTCTGGGTAACATATTTTTAATGTTTTATGGGATTCGGAATAACGTTTTATAAATTTATAAATCACTAGCAACAAATTGTCACAAAAGGAAAACTAGAAACAAAAGTATCTGATATATCCGCATTTCGGATGACAAAACCGGATATACTCCTGATCTATTATATTTGATTTGTTTTATCTGATTCAAACCACATCCATAGAAATATTTACACCATAGTAATCACGTAGAAGTATATTGTTATACGAAATCTGAAATATTTTAGGCAGCAATAGAAACAGTATCTTTCTAAGATCAACATCCTTGGCAAATGTTTTATATCAAGATCAAATCTGCGAATAGAGGTCATTCTCCTCTCTCGACCGTCGCACTGTTTGTTAAAAATTCTAATTCTTTTGTTGTTGTGGTGTTGGTTTAAAACGAAGTCCTATTTTCTCATAAATTTATGTTTTTTCAAGCTCCTAAATATTAATAAAAATTATTGACGGTTTTATTAATGAATTCAATGAATTCACTTCAGATTCGGAAACTTCATGGATTGCCGATTACTAAAATATTAGTTTTCAAGATGTAATTAATGTGTAGGTATCGTTGAGAGATTTGCTGAGGATGAAGTGTGAATAACTTAAAACAGTCGACATTTTATTTGTATATTTGTAAGAGTTTCACATTCTGAAGCCATTCAGAGTTGTTTTGCACTGTATTTCATTTTTTCAGTAAAATTTCTCATTATGGATATGCAGTTTTTTTCATGGTTAGGTTTCCTAACGGAAAAAAATAAATCAAAAGTCTAAAAATATTCTATGGATCCTAACCTTATTTCTCGGTTTCTCTTATTTATTTTCTCTGTACATACTGTACATAAAATATTGACATTGCAAGGATAGTTGAATAAATGGACGTCACTCATAGCATTATCTAGGGGTACACAATTTATTACCATAAGTTTTTGGCGAAGAAAACAATTTTTCACATTGGAATTTAGATCTACTTGAAAAGACTCAAAAACATGACTATAATAAGGCCAATCTGGACTTACGGAATTGAGCTTTGATGCTCCACTAAACCATCGAATTCATCTCGTATCCAATCCTTACAATCCAAAATCCTTCGTAAAATCCTGAATGCCCCTTACTTTGTCACAAATGAAATCATTCATAACGACCTTGACCCACCATATATTTCCGATTTATCCCAATCCAGATACCTATACTTCCATAACAAACTTCAAAACCATCTGACCCTCTCGTTTCAAACTTTTCTTCTTTTTTGATAACTGATAACCCTCCAAAGCAACTGAAAAGAAAATGGCCTCGTGATCTACTTATGTAAATATATTATTAGAGTGCTACCAATGGGCAGTTTATCAATAGGCGTTTTCATGTGATTGTATTATTACCGTGTGCACATTTACTGGGTGTATTTTTAAATTTATACAGTTGTAAACCTCATGAATAAAAAAATAAAAAAAGAAATCTAGGTGATTTTATTTAACAATTTTCACGATAAATCCTTAAATTAAAATATCCTTTGTCATTCCTGCTACCTTTTTCTGGAATTCCTTACCCACTTCTATACGCAAATCCACTTCCTTAATCTCATTTAAACAACATTTATTCTTCCACCTCCTCAGCAATCAATCTTCCGAATACATGTCAGAATAAATTTTCGTATTCAAGAGCTGTCCCCTCCGTTTGACTGTCATCTTACTGCTACTTAAAAATTATCGATACAGTTATTCAGAACATACTCATATATATTTATGTACAAATTAATATTTTTATTTGTACTTTTTTTATTTTAATTTTAAGGTTAGATGATTACGTTTACTAATATTTTTTTTATTATACCAGCCAATGTCACTATGTGTTCATTATAATTTTTTTTCTTCTTCTAAAATCTAACTAAACAAAGCATTTACGAGCATACCTTTCTAGGATTTATTCTTTTATTTTGACAAACTTAATTCTTATTTTCACTTGAGATATCACCCTGAAGGATCTTTCTATGTCGTGATATTATGTTAAAACTAAGGACTTAGTTATGAAATACGTGTTAATCAAATGTCAAATTAGAACTTAACAATTCAAGTAGAAAAGGAATCAATGTTTTATTTGTAGAGGTGTATTTTGAATATTTGTGTCTCTACTTGGTGACTTCCTCCAAAGAAGCCCGCATCTATAAGAACATAGTAGCTGGAAGCACTGTATCTGTAATTCTGCAAGCATCCGAGCCTATATGACGTAAGACCTCCAGTTTCGCGTCCATATATGCCAACCAGCCAGACCACATGGTTTGGAATCCAGCGTCCAGAAGACACCGACTATTGTGTAAGTCGCCCGCCATTTGAATCTCAAAACTACAAATGTAAAAATTAAGGAAATTATGTCTAGTCGTGGCCGTTTATGGTTCGTCTTACCAGATAAAGAGCTGAAGAAAAAAAAAACTACGCTAGAGATCACAGCAATTTTCATAAACATACCTCAGAAAAATGTACTCGAATAGAGTCCAGGAATTTTTATAAGGTAGCATAGAGTTCAAATCGGGTCCCGAGTGTTCTTTCAAATAACAATTCATAACGATCGATTGCCTGGAGTAAAAAAAAACGAACAATTTTTACTGAAGTATTTCTCTAATATCTCATTCAATTAGAGCTCGTACTCTATGCAATATGTTTGGTGGTGAGACTAGCGTGAATTTTTTTTTTTTAAATTTCTGTTTAAAATAAACCCATATTTCTTTTCATACCGTGCGTGTTCCTAAGCGATTTTTTGGAATCCTTATGTCGATTAGATTGTGTTTTATTTTTTTTTAATTGTTGATTTATAAAAAATTATCGACTTGAAAAATTTCAATCTGATTTTTTTTTCTAACATTCAAGAAAAAGGCATTTATGACAAATGTCAGGGGAAAAAATCAGTTTTCTATTAGCAAGATTTAATATTAAATATTGAAACCTCTTAAATATCAATAAATCATTCTGTAACTTATTTGACTGTAATGTATAGTTAAAATTCAATAAGTCACTGTTGATCAAAATAAATCATTTATGATACCTGAAAAATTAACCGAATATAGATGTAATTTTGCTCAGCCATTGTAACGCTGATAGGCAAGATTCTAGTTGAGTATATGAAGAGTGTTCAGGAACCAATTCGATCTAATTTTGAAATTTCGGAGCCAACTCGAACTGTCCTACCTGAGACAGCCATTCGTGGTTTCATCGATAGATGATAACTTGTAAACCAGAAGAGGCTATTTATCATTTAATGAAACTAGATAATATTCTACACGGGCTCGCCACCTGATACGCATCGAGATGCTCGAATGCTAATGGCTTCCTACGTCCATTCAGTATCCACTGCCTCTTTAATATTCATTAAATTAGCGATACAGATATTTTCTTAAAAAGCGTATCGGTGAAATTTATAATGGCGGGAAACAGAATAAATGATACCGATGCGATGGCATAACAACAATTATTATTGGATAATTATGTACATTTTTTGTTCGATAATTGCTGGGTCACGATTTTTTACTTTTTGAGATAAAAAAAGTTGCAGTTTTTTATCCCCTCCTGATTGTTATAATTATTATGTAGATGGTAACTGAAGACAGGAAATTTATAAATCAAATGATATTGGACTTTGGTATACGAATCACGGACTACCGATTTAGAGACAAAAAAAAAAAAAAAATTACAACTGCATTTATATATTCAAAGAAGCCACGTTTTTACATGAAATTGAACTACATCATCTTCATGGTCTTTGGAAGCCCCAAACATTATAATATTTCTCGAATTTTTCACGGAGCATTATATATTAAGTTGAAATCATCTGAAAACTCGAGACGATATGCCCCTGAGTAACGTAAATTTTTATTACTGCCACTATAAATAAAATACAGGAACAAATCTTTCACTGGTCCTTTAGAAACTTTGGATGTTATTCATTTCATCAGACCCACTCCTTTAAATTTAACTCCTCTAATTTTTTATTCGGACTTAAGTTTCTCCTATCTAAAAAATTACACTAATATCGCTATATTAATAAGCCAGTAAGTAACTGCAAGACTGTTGCGAGACTTTTACGCAAGACCAAGACCATGACCAAGACTGAGTTTGCAAGACCAAGACTCGTCTCGGTCTCACATTTGGGCAACACTAATTAGAACAGCTATTTATTTATTTTTTAATAAGTTATTAATAGAAGTAACAGTTGAAAAATAACTGCTTTTTAGCTAGTAACTCCTCTCTAATAGTAACAGTAAAAAGGTATCTTTAGATTCGGAACTACCATTACACGGATCATATAGTATTGGATAATTAATGGGCGTCTTTATTACAGCTCTGTAGCTTTCCGTCGCATTACTTTCCAGTTATTGTCCGCCTTACTGAGATACAGTATACATCCACAGCCAGCAACTTTAGCAATCCGGTAGATTTATCACGGTATTCTACAAGAGCTCTTAAATGGATTAATTTCCTCCTAGAGATAATGGGCCAACTTGCTCGAGGATACATCCTCCCTAATACAACATTTAAGAGTCTGTACTCCCTAAGTTAGTTTTCAAGATGGACGATCCTCAAACTTACTTTTCCCTTAACTTTTACAGGTGAGCTAATAGCCTTGCAAAATTACGGAATCAGTACAGACTGATGTAGCAGTTTATAGCTAGAGTTATATTGTTGTGAGGGGAATTGTTCAGAGCTTAACTTCTAATTTGTGGTATGTAACAGCCATGGTATCATTATAATACGTTGTTATCGTTTTTTGTGATTCAAATAAACTAAACTTTAAAACCTTACTTTTGTTAACACTTTAAAAATTATTACGACGGATTAACGCACAATGTTCCGAATTCACATTTTCCTTTCTTCTGCACATAAACTTTTTTTTTTTTAGAGAAAGCACATGGAAGATATTAAAATCCAATCTCTGTGGAGTGCGATTCAAATAACATATATTTTTTCTTCATATGAAAAATTCTCTGAGGTTTTCCTACTTGTATTCTGTTTTGGTTTACGCAACTTTTAACCAATAAAACAAAATTAGTTTAATGTTAGCTTTTGAATATAAAAAAATGGTTTTCTATGATGATATATCGTTTAGTATTAAACCAAATAGTGTTACAGTGTACAAAATTTGCTGATTAAAATAAACTAAAGAAGATCCTCTTAATCCGTAATGTTTCTTTATCTTGATATTAGACAGATAAATTTATTTATTTTCGATTTCACTTTTGTTTTAGCAATTATTAGCTAATTTTACTATATACTAATTATCATTAACTAACCATAGAAAACAGTGCCGTATTTATTAATATTAAATAGCAAATCGGGTGGTTCGTTTTATTGGTTATTGGTGTAAAGCTTACTGTTGATCAAGTCATTTCAGTACTTTTTTTTTTTTAATTTCGCAAATTAATCTCCAATTGAAAATATAAATACTGAAAATTACTACATTGTTATTTCCAATGCCTAATTGCTGATATGGGAGAGGGATAGTTTAGTGGGCAAGACACTGATTTCCTAAGCTCAAGATCTCGGGTTCTAATTCGAAGCCCTGAAAACACTACTTCCTTATAAAGTACTGCAAACGCAAGAGCCTTCAAGGATTGGTGGTACAGAGTTTTTTTTTTTAAATAACTGATACATGCTAAATGGAAAGGAATATAATTAATAAACTTCAACATATCTTATAGTCTTAACATTTATTTTAACTCCAACGTACCAAGTCTCGTATGAACGAAGGAAAAGTGGCCGGTAATAATTTATAGTACGTCGATAATAATAATTGTCACGAAAAGAGGAAGTTTATTACTAATAAAGAATAAATCTTTATTTAAAAAAAAATTAAGTAAAATACAGCACTTTTGATACAAAGTGCAAATGGTTATTGCAAATTTCTTGAATCGTCCTGTGGTTATCTATGAATTGATATCTAAATATTAGAAGAAGAAAAAAATCGGACGGACGAACTTTTTATTATAGGTTGGGATTATACTGATCATAAAACATAAAACTTCATGCTTCGTTGCAGATTAAAATATTTTTTTCTAGATCAAATGCATCATGTTGAGAAGACAGGAAATTTATTACTAATAAAGAATAAATCTTTATTTTAGAAAAATTAAGTATTTTTGAAACAAAATGCAAATGGTAATTGCACGTTTCGAGGATCAATTTGTGTTTTTTTTATGAATTGATTTCCAATTATTAAAAGAAAAAAAATCGGATAGACGAAATTGTTATAGTTTTGGGTCATACTGATCATCAAACGTAAAATGTTTCGTTACAGATTAAAATATTTTTTCTAGATTAAATACATCATGTTAGGAAAACAGGAAGTTTATTAATAATAAATAAATAAATCTTTAAATGTAATAAAGCAAAATTATTAAATAAAAAAAAGTGATTATAAATCTCTCTGCATTTCCAGTGACAAAATCTGGTGAATCAAACTCGTTACAATGAAACAGAACATAAACTCAGTTATTTTCTGAAAGGAAATTTCAGACTGTTAGATTTGTTTTTTTACTTTCTGAATATCAGCATAGCAATAAAAGTTTAATAAATAGGGAATTAAAATTTCCGTTTCATTTCTATGGACTTATTGAACTAACGACCTGGAGCATTATGGTGATGATAAAAATATTTTATAATATTTTTCAACTCGAGATACGAAATCTGCAATAAAATTTAGATTGGACTAGGCGAAAGTTGAATTATTTTATGATGACTGTGAGAATTAAATTAAATTCTATCGACCCTTTCAGGTGGCCGGCTGGCACACCGCCCCTCCCCCTCCCCACCTCCCCTTCCCATTGATATATTATTACTATTCAATCTTTTTTAATTCCGAAGCCGCCGGAGAGACGAGAGCAGGTAGAGATAGAAAACAAATTCCTTTATAGAATGGGACATAATGAGTTTCCCTTCGGGGGTAGGTTCTTTGCATAATGAGGCCCTGCCCGCTGATCTATTGCCCTTCGCCTTCACAGCCCTTATAGCCACCTTATCTTCAGGTCAATCGCCTCCTCCTCTTTAGAAAAACTGGTTAAAATAAGGGTATAAATATTTTTTCCAACAATCTTAGGCAGTATCCGTTTCAATTTGTCAGTGGATTTCTTATTACCTTCTCCGCCTTAGAAAATTCTTTCTGAAGGAATTGTTCTGGCTGTAGTGTACTGATTGTATAAGAAATAAAATCTTTGTATTTATTTTACCTATTTTCGAAACTGGGTACTTGTCGGTTAGCCGGACAGAACCGACTGCTATCTTCCAATGTTTATAACCTGAACACTGATAATTCTGATGAGGCACTGATAAGCCTTCTCGTAATTCCTATCTTCGTATTCATACTTATTGTATTATAGTCATACTTAGCCTTCCTCGACCTTCAAGCAGCATTTGATTCAGTCCCAAGAAACGAAATATGGGAAGCACTAAGAGTAAAAAATGTTCCTAGAAGCCTGTTTGAGGCCATTAAATCCATAAACCAAAATCCAAAAGGAATAGTCAGACTGAATGGACAGGAATCTGGCTGTTTTAGCATAGACAAGGGGGTCAAACAAGGCGATAGTTTAAGCCCTTTGCTATTTATATTATATATGGATGAAATTGCTGCAATCTGCAAAAGACGAACAGAAAGGACGTTTCTGGGGTGAAGGAATCTGCTTCCAGTTGTATTTCAGTTTCTTCTGTATGCGGACGATATTGTCTTGATTGCTAATTCTGTGGAGAAATCACAGCAGGCAGTTGACGAATGGAACGAGAAGCTCCTCAGGAAGGGTATGGTCATCAGTACAAGAAAGAGCAAGATCCTACAGGTTGGAAGGGTGCAGGAAGATGTTACAGTGTATAGCAACAGAGAAGTGATGGAAGTAGTGTCACCTACCTTGGTTCTGTTATGGATCGGTCTGGGAAAGTGGATTCAGAAATTCTGCACAGCATAAGCAAAGCAAACGCTATATATTACCAGATCGGCAATACTGTGATCGGAAAGAGAGGCAATACTTGCCTATACTCCTGTATGGTGCAGAAAGCTGGGTACTGACTGGCAAACTTGAGAGAAAAATCACTGCTGCAGGAATGAGATTTCTCCGAAGGATCGAAGGGAAAACGAGACGGGACTGCATTCGCAACGAGAGAATCAGGGAGGAATTGGGGGTTCCCCCGATGAAGGATGTCCTAAAGACTCGGCAGCTTAAGTGGTTTGGGCATGTCATCAGGATGGAAAAACACAGAGATCCATTAAAGTCTATGGACTACGTCCCCGATGGCAGGAGACCCCGCGGAAGACCAAGAATGTCGTACATCGAATATGTAGACCGCCTGTGCAAAATTAGAAATAAAAATATACGCCAAGTCAGAAATCTTGCAAGAAACAGGGAAAATTGGCAATCCTGGTTAGACGCTCCCCTACGCTGAAAGGCACTACAGGGTGATGCAAAAGAAGAAGAAGAAATTGTAAACAAATACAAATGGGTATATTCATATATAATATTATCAACAATTAATAATGAATATGATCAGCTAATGTTGATAATATTCATATGTTGTCAAAATATGTTGTCAATAATATTAATATTATTAAAATTGTAAACAAAAACGAAAACAGTTTGATTTGAAATTGAAATAGACAAAAAGAAACGTAATAATTCTCACAACAATAAGGAAACACTCTCATTTTACAACACATATATGAAATAGACAAAAATAAATGTAATAATAAAAAAGCACTTAAACAAGATATGTACACATAAAAGAAACTATATATGTAATATAAACAACATATGTACAATTTATTTTCACCTTATTTATTTTGGAAGGCAAAATAGTTAAATAACAAAAATAAACAATGGAATAACTCAGAGCTTTCACGACATAAGAAGGGTGGTTATGTGATGTAACATTAGCTAACAAGGGAGGTTTCGTCCAGCCCTTTTAAGTACCCGAAACTGCAACTGCTTATTTAAAATTTCTGTTATTTGATAAATACATAGAAAAAAATTTAGTTCGCCATGATCTCCAAGTTACATAAAAAATTAGACATTTTAAAAACCGTACCCATAAAGTTCTTCTAGACATTTCAGAAACTATAGGAAACACAAAGATTTAAATGGTATTTTCCTCATGCTAGTGATTTCTTTCAGTAGTTCATGAAATGTCTACTAAACCCACCTTTTTTAAGTTTTTCAAGTATTAATAAATTACTAACTAATCAAGATTTCAACAATTCAAAGCTAAAAATGTATCTACTGTCAGGATTCTAACTATATATATATATATATATATATATATATATATATATATATATATATATAAAATCTAATTCTAAAATCTAATATATATATATATATATATATATATATATATATATATATAGCCGTGCCGGCCTTAGGGTAGGGGCATATTGAATGAAATATTACATAATATAAAACAGCTTAAGAAATGAATTTAATTTTTTTAGGGGAAAAGAGATGACGTCATTGCCCGGGGTCGCCAAACATATATATATA